TTGATCCCAAGGATCTCGGACACTACACCGTCTGGGCCAGGAACCGTTTGCGTTCGCGTTTCCGATGCCTCTAACCTCAGTCTATCGAAGGTAAAGAGAAGCACTTGGTTTGCTCTTATAACCTCCTGCCTCCTGCCAAGATGCTCCAGAAAAAGAAAAAAAGTCACCCTCTCTAAAGAGGAAGTTTTCACCGGCGGTGACGGGACTTAGCTGCACAGTCTTTTAAACGTGATGTGGTAGCCCAGGCCCTACGTGTCCTCATCCACTTTAACGATGAGTTGGCACCAATATCAATTCTTACTCATCTTGATCACCCTTAGCAAGGACTTTTTTTTCTTTTTTGTACGCGGCAACAGCTACTTCGGCGTTCTCACGAGTTTTGTGTCGCTGCGCGAGACGCCGTAGGTGTGGCACCTGAAATGCATTAAAACACACCGCAGGGACAGCGGTAGTGTAGGACTCGGTGGATTTTTCTTATTAGACCACTTATACCCACTAAACCCCCCCCCCCATGCCGCCGCGTGGCTTTATTTCCACCCCAGAACCGCGTAAGTATTACTTCAGGGTGGAGCCACCAGGGAGATCATCGTATCTCACAGCATTAGCGAGCAAGCTCGCCACCAGTTGCTAGAGGTGCCAATCCTCTCGAGTCCTGAAAAATACTCGGGGTCCCTAAGGACCGGCACCCGTGTTCTAGCGCTTCATTTATGCTTTCCCTTGCTCATGAGAATAAATACTTAGCACAGCTTGGGTCTGCATCAAAATACTCAGGGGCCCCCCGCTACCTGCGCGGCGGCTCTCTCCTCTTCTTTCTTCTGCCGGAGGACTGTCCCGACGAAGCCATCCACTACCGTCCACCTCTCTTCGCTGCTGAGCATCTCAGAGATAATGGTTTCAGGAGTGGGTGCCGCGCCGATCTTGTCCACCAGCTGCTGGCGCTCACGGTGCCATCTCTCACACACGAAAAACGTATGTTTGACGGTATCATCCAACGCAGGGCAGTAAGAACACCTAGGTGATGCCCTCACCGCCATGCAGTGGAGATAAGCATCAAACTGACTATGCCTGGAGAGAAACTGGGTGAGGTGGTACCTCTCCATGTCCTCTTTCCACCAATTGCCACAGGTGCAGAATCAGGCATTGCGTCCAGCTACCCACAACAGCCCGACCCCACTCCTGTTGCCACGTCGTCAACGTTTCCTTCCACCTGTCGCTATCGCTTTCGTCACTGGAGCCCACAAATTTCCTTCGCCACTCCCGCGCAAGCAACACGACGGGAATCGCTCNGTATGGGTGGTCTAATAAAAAAAACCCACCGAGTCCCACACTACCGCTGTCCCTGCGGTACGCCTCAATGCATTTTCCCTCCCTCCACAAAAAAAAAAAAAAAAAAAAAAACTACTACTACTTCTACTACTATTATTGCTACTGCTTTTACTACAGCTTCTGCTTTCACTACTACAACTTCTACTACTACTTCTTCTTCTACTACTATACAGCGCTTTTATGTGTGACTGCTTAAGTTTCAGGAAATGTAAATAAGCAATATAGAGCAAGACGCAATACCCTAAATAATTCAGCAAAATTTTTTACACAACAACTTAATAAATTAAGCCTAAGCTATTCAACCGAATAATCAAACGCGCGTATTTGCAGTCTCACCTGTTTTAATAATTTATGAAATTCATTAGATAAGGCAAGCGCCAATTATCACACAACCCGAAGCACTTTCTAGTCGCTTCATTTTTAAATCAAATAAATAAATTGATGTAAGCAATAATCACCACACAACCTGAGGCACCTTCTGGTCTGTTTAGAATTGAATGAAAAAACACAGTAGCCAATCACCACACAGCAAAGGGTGGTTTCTGGTCACTGTATTTCTTAGTCAAATAAACAAAATAACGCAAGTGACAATCACAGCACAACCCAGGGTGGTGTAATAGCGCTTTAGTTATTTTATTGTGGTAGTGGTTGCCTGCGTTGTTTCAATTATTCAATTTAAAAATGCAGCAAATAAAAAGCATCCCAAATTGTTTGATGATCGGCACTTGTAGTATTTAATAAATTGACAAAGTACAAAGAAAACGCTCCAGATGATGTAGTAACTGTAGCTTGGGTTTTTTTATTCACTTGATTGATGTCTAGAGCAATCAGATAAAGCTTAAGTTGTGGGGTTATTGGCGCTTGTGTTGATTCATTAAACAACAAAGCAACTAGAACGAGCACCGAGTTATATAGTGACTGCTACTTTTGTAATTTTATTAATTAACACAGCATTAAAAAAGTTACCATGTTGCAAGCACCTTGGATTGTGCGGTGATTGTTGCTTCCATGGTTAATTTAATAAAACTAATGGAAGAAGTAACCATATAGTACCCAAGGTTGTGTGATCATTGGGGCTTCTAAAAATTAATTACATAAAAAAGCAACCAAGAAGCGCCCCAGGTTGTGTAATGATTAGCGCTTGTGTTATTTTGATTAAAAACAAAGGGACAAGAAAGCGCCCAACGCTGTAAAGTGATTATTGCTTGCATTAGTTTATTAAATAATAAAGCATTACAAAAGTATCACAAATTGTTTGATAATTAGTGCTGGCGTTTTTTTATAAACAAGCAAAGCGACCATAAAACGCTGCAGGTTGTGTAAAGTTTAACGCTTGTTTTTTTCTTTATTAAATATCAAAGCGATCAGAAAGCTCCTCGGGTTGTTATCACCTCATAACCCAAGGAGCTTTCTGGTCACTTTGTTTACCAATATGATAATGCAAGTGCTGATGAAAAAGCAATCAGAAAAACTTTGTTATTGCTTTGTTAGTTAATGAAATATTGCAAGAAATAATCACCACACAACCTTATTTTCACCCTTGTCGCTTTGTTATTTATTAAGTAAACATGAAAGCAAATCTCTAGAAACCCAGGGTGCTTTCTGGTTTCTAATCATTAAATTATTTCTAATTGAATAAATAAAATAACGCAAACGACAATCATCACACAACGCAGGATTCTTCCTGGACGCTTTGTAAATAAATAAAATAACACAAGCACCACTTACCAAACAACTCAGAGTGCTTCCTGGTCACTTTTTTTCCAATCAAATAACAGTAAAAACGCAAATGGCAATCACCACAAAATCCAAGGCGTATTCTGGTCCCTTTGTTATTAAATTAAATAACGAAAGTGCCAATGATTAAACATCCCAGGTCCCTTAATGGTCGCTTTGTGAGTTATCAAGAGAACACAAGTGCCAATCACTTTACAACCCGAGGTGCCCTCTAGTTGCCCTCAAAATCACGCAAGCACTTAGCATCACGCAACTTGAGGCTCTTTCTGGTTGTTTTGTTAATTAATACAATAGTGTATGACGGAGTCATTTTTCTCTGACCTATAGCATTAAGCGCTGAAACGCGTCATCAAGGTGGAATCTATTTTCATTATAAGAAGCTAATAAAGGTCTGGGTCTGTGTGTTTCATGTTCTATGTGAGAGTAATCGGATACAAGGAGTAGCGCCAAGGAGAGAAGAGAAGACATAGCGTCGAAGAAAAGCCCAAGAATGTGTAGTTTTGCGTATTATAGAATATTTGTAATTACCGCACCANTGGTTTCAGGAGTGGGTGCCGCGCCGATCTTGTCCACCAGCTGCTGGCGCTCACGGTGCCATCTCTCACACACGAAAAACGTATGTTTGACGGTATCATCCAACGCAGGGCAGTAAGAACACCTAGGTGATGCCCTCACCGCCATGCAGTGGAGATAAGCATCAAACTGACTATGCCTGGAGAGAAACTGGGTGAGGTGGTACCTCTCCATGTCCTCTTTCCACCAATTGCCACAGGTGCAGAATCAGGCATTGCGTCCAGCTACCCACAACAGCCCGACCCCACTCCTGTTGCCACGTCGTCAACGTTTCCTTCCACCTGTCGCTATCGCTTTCGTCACTGGAGCCCACAAATTTCCTTCGCCACTCCCGCGCAAGCAACACGACGGGAATCGTTCGTGCTATCACCGTAGCAGCAGCGGAGGAGACCGTGCGGTAGGCACATACAATTCTAAGGGACCTGATGCACTGCACCGAAGTTAAGCGCTCTCGGACATCCTTCCTCGCGAGTGCGTCCGCCCATACCTCTGCGCCGCGCCGTACAGCAGGATCGAGTTGGAAACCGACGCAAGGAGCCGCCTTTTGGCTTCCCGCGGGCCTCAAACATTCGGCATTAACCATGAAAGCACCCCAGAGACCCCAGCAGCTTTATCAGCTGCTCTCCTGATGTGCTCCCTAAAGGTGAGTCGTGAATCGATCCACACTCCGAGGTAGCGCACCACCGGACTCGCGCAGATAACCTCACCCGCAACGCTCAGGCAAAAGTTACCCCCGAACCATCTCTGCCTGTTGAAGACGACCATCTCTGTTTTTCCTACAACTAGCTCACAACCGTGATCCCTGAGCCACTCCGACACTATCGCGACCGCGCACCGTATTTTGCGCTCGGCCTCCTCTCGCGATCTCGCTGTGACGTGCAATGCTATGTCGTCAGCAAAGCTCGTCAGCTTGACCCCTGGAGGCATTTCAAGGCGCAAAAGTTCGTCATAGACCATCTTCCAGAGATCAGGGCCAAGGGCAGATCCCTGTGCGACTCCCGACGTAAGACGCTCCTCTCTTGGTCCATCCTTCGTGTCGTACCGGAGAACTCGATCCTGAAGGTAACTGTCCAGGATCTTTCTCATGTAGTCCAGCACATTCTAGTGCTTCAGGACCCTAATTATGTCTGACCAATTAGCCGAGTTGAAGGCATTCTTTACGTCGAGAGTTGCCAAGATATAGACACTCTTCGTCTTATGAGAGGGTTTCCATGCCTCCCTGACCGACTCGAGAACCTCAGCCACAGCCATAACCGTCAATCACCCCATTCGGAACCCGTACTGGTTTTCTGAGAGGCTGACTTCCCTTCTTAAGCGGGTTCTTATCAGCCTCTCTAGCATTTTTCCAGCATTGTTCAGCATACCTAAGGTCGGAATGACGACGGGACCAGGGGGGGTGGTTTGCCCTTGTCCAGAAGAACAAGCCTTTGGATCTTCCACCACTCGCTGAACATTTTAACGCGCAGGCACGCATTCAAAATGTCCAACAAAAGGTGTGGCTTCTCCGCAGCTATGATTTTGAGGACTTCGGACGGCACCCCGTCAGGACCAGGTGCCTTTTGCCCCGGCGTCTCCGATGCCACCGACCTTAATTCATCGAGCATAAAGAGGAGCACTTGTCCAACACTTGTGTCCGCTCGCCTCCTAGCGGGATGCTCCGGAAATAGGCAAGAGACCACCCTCTCCAAAAAGGAAGGTTCCATCGGCAGCGTCAGGTCCGTACCACGAAGTCTTTTTAACGCAATCCCATAGGCCAGGCCCCACGTGTCCTTCTTAACCTCGGCGATGAGCTTGCACCAGCATCGGTTCTTGCTCACCTTGATCGCTCTCAACAACGCTTATTTTGCTTCCTTGTACGCGGCAACAGCTGCCCCGGCGCCTTCGCAAGTTCTGTGTCGCTATGCAAGACGCCATAGATGCTGTACCTCTCTGCGCAAGTTAGCGATGTCTTCAGTCCACCAGTAGCACGAACGTCGACCTTTTTCAGCAGACCTTTTAGGCATACACGCGTCGCACCATTCCTTGACCCGTCTCGTAGTGCCTCTCACGAGTGTCTCGGCCTCCTCTGAATTTGTAATCTTGTTCCAATCGGCTGGAGGTGGCATACTAACCATGGCCTCCAGCAGCAAATCTCAGTTGAGTTTTGCCACATTTTACCCGGCAACGCGCCTTCGGATTACATCTCGCGAGCCTGCACCACGATCCTTGCTTACCACGGAGCTGCCATACTGGTGATAACTGGCCGTGTAGTCCTCCAGGACCTGCCAGGCAGACACTCGCGCCGCCATTTCTGACGACACCAGCATGAGATCGATGATCGTTCCCCGGTTACCAGGTTGCCTGAACGTTGCTGAACCACCAGAGTTCATGACTATGAGATCCAGCCTCGCAGCCATCTCTAGTACCGCCCGTCCTCTGGGGTCGGTTCTTGGCTCCCCCCAAGCGACGGCCTTGGAGTTAAAGTCGCGGGCCAGGACTACATCACCACTCTCCCTGCACACTCGAACGGCATCCTCGAGTTCAGAAAGCCGCTCTCCGAAGGTACCAATCGAAATGTTAGGGGATATGTAGCAACTCACATAAAAAGCACTTTCACACCTGATCCATACGAACCCGTCGCCACCTCCAGTATCGGATACGGAGATTTTGTCGCTGCGAATCAGGATGGCTGCGCCTCTTGTCCTGTCGCAGTACCAGCCTTGGCCCGGTAACGCGAGGGATGGCTCATTTATAGAGAGTATATCCACACCCCGGGCACGGAAAAACTGGTCCAGCAGATCGTGAGCGAGCACGGTCCTGTCAAGATTTACCTGCTGGATCAGCGCCATTTCTTCGGAGCTATTCACACAGCAGCCCGTAGGGCTCCACACCTGACAGTCCCAGCGACGTGGCTGGTATCTGGCTTTGGATTCACGTTCTCACACAGGTAGCAGTTCGCTTCTTTCTGCGAGCAGCCTGGCCCTCTGACGCGGATTCCCAACGTTTCCTGGAGGTGGGCAACCCGCTGGAGTTTTTCTTGGGTCTGCGCCCTCCTCTTTCTCCATTCTTTTTTTTCCATTTTTTGGAGACGGTCTTCCACTCCTTTTGATCAGGAGAATTACCGTCTCCATTTCTTTCCTTTGCAGGCGGGGTCCGTTCCTTTTCATCCGGACTGGACTCCAACCACTGCATCTTTTTTCTGGCAGTCGCGCCGGGACAGTGGGACTCGGAGAGCTCCCCACATCCTTCCTCTTCTTCTCCCCTAAAGGAGTCAAAAAAAAAGGTGGGGACCTCGACCCCCCCCCCCAACCCAGCCGCGACAATAGCCAACTTCTTTTAGAGGCCCTGAGCTGTAAATAGGGCCTCCTCAACTCCACTTCTTGTGTCCTTCTGGGTGGTCCCATATTTTTTGACGAGTCTACCCAGATTGACCAAGACCTACAGCAGATGGTTGAAGAGAGCCTTTTCCTAGCTCCCCTCTCCCGTTGCTCGGCCGTGGCCTTCAACACACCAGCTTAAACTCCCCTTTCCCAAAACCCTAGAAATTGTAGCCTTCATTTTTGTTCCCACAAGTAGCTAGGGAAATAAAAGTCCGCTGATACAGAGCCCCACATGTGCCAGTAAGGCTAAATACTTATGGAGGTCGCCAGGTATCCACGAGGCACTGTTTGAGACCACCAGTACCCCAGCGGCCAACTAACCTTTCAGCACGGTCCATATGACACCTTTGGTTTAGGAAGAGTAGTAGTCTGAGAATGGTGTTCGTGTAATGTATGTTTGTGTTGGTACACTACGGTCATCCCAGCAAGACTAGCGGCAGGCGAACAGTCCCACAACCACGCAGACAACCCAACAAGACGAGCTGTCATAAGGCACTAAGGTGCCGCCATATAGCCTACTCAGTGGTAGTAAGCCTAGATTAGTCAGCCCACCACGTCTTTTTTGTTTATGAGGCGTACAGCCATATCAGATGTGGATTACCCAGACTTACCTGGGCCTCATCGTCCAGCTTCACCCACCACCAGGTCTCCAACACAAGCCCGAAAAAGAACCCGCCACACGCAACCCACAACAATCCATGACGAATGCTAGTTTTTGTTGGCCCACATCAAGCAATGGAGTGCCACCCACGGCTGCAGTAAAAAGCAAAGAACAAGAAGCACAAGCAGAGCCGGCCTATGCACTCACACCGATGGAGACATGAGGCACTAGTCCCCCGTCCACACCACCGCAGATACATGCGCGAACGCCACACGCGCCTCCCGATCCTCGCCCCCGACCACCACCACAGAGAGCCACCCCAGCTGCCCATTGTCACCTTATATTTTAAGAGGATGCCTCTATCCGCCAACCGGGAAAGCGCCCGGTATGGAGAAACTAGCGAAAACCCCATCCGGGGGTAGTAGTAGTAGTAGTAGTGGTTTATTTTTTTTTTTTTTTTTTTNAGTAGTAGTAGTAGTAGTAGTAGTAGTAGTAGTAGTAGTAGTAGTAGTAGTAGTAGTAGTAGTAGTAGTAGTAGTAGTAGTAGTAGTAGTAGTAGTAGTAGTAGTAGTAGTAGTAGTAGTAGTAGTAGTAGTAGTAGTAGTAGTAGTAGTAGTAGTAGTAGTAGTAGTAGTAGTAGTAGTAGTAGTAGTAGTAGTAGTAGTAGTAGTAGTAGTAGTAGTAGTAGTAGTAGTAGTAGTAGTAGTAGTAGTAGTAGTAGTAGTAGTAGTAGTAGTAGTAGTAGTAGTAGTAGTAGTAGTAGTAGTAGTAGTAGTAGTAGTAGTAGTAGTAGTAGTAGTAGTAGTAGTAGTAGTAGTAGTAGTAGTAGTAGTAGTAGTAGTAGTAGTAGTAGTAGTAGTAGTAGTAGTAGTAGTAGTAGTAGTAGTAGTAGTAGTAGTAGTAGTAGTAGTAGTAGTAGTAGTAGTAGTAGTAGTAGTAGTAGTAGTAGTAGTAGTAGTAGTAGTAGTAGTAGTAGTAGTAGTAGTAGTAGTAGTAGTAGTAGTAGTAGTAGTAGTAGTAGTAGTAGTAGTAGTAGTAGTAGTAGTAGTAGTAGTAGTAGTAGTAGTAGTAGTAGTAGTAGTAGTAGTAGTAGTAGTAGTAGTAGTAGTAGTAGTAGTAGTAGTAGTAGTAGTAGTAGTAGTAGTAGTAGTAGTAGTAGTAGTAGTAGTAGTAGTAGTAGTAGTAGTAGTAGTAGTAGTAGTAGTAGTAGTAGTAGTAGTAGTAGTAGTAGTAGTAGTAGTAGTAGTAGTAGTAGTAGTAGTAGTAGTAGTAGTAGTAGTAGTAGTAGTAGTAGTAGTAGTAGTAGTAGTAGTAGTAGTAGTAGTAGTAGTAGTAGTAGTAGTAGTAGTAGTAGTAGTAGTAGTAGTAGTAGTAGTAGTAGTAGTAGTAGTAGTAGTAGTAGTAGTAGTAGTAGTAGTAGTAGTAGTAGTAGTAGTAGTAGTAGTAGTAGTAGTAGTAGTAGTAGTAGTAGTAGTAGTAGTAGTAGTAGTAGTAGTAGTAGTAGTAGTAGTAGTAGTAGTAGTAGTAGTAGTAGTAGTAGTAGTAGTAGTAGTAGTAGTAGTAGTAGTAGTAGTAGTAGTAGTAGTAGTAGTAGTAGTAGTAGTAGTAGTAGTAGTAGTAGTAGTAGTAGTAGTAGTAGTAGTAGTAGTAGTAGTAGTAGTAGTAGTAGTAGTAGTAGTAGTAGTAGTAGTAGTAGTAGTAGTAGTAGTAGTAGTAGTAGTAGTAGTAGTAGTAGTAGTAGTAGTAGTAGTAGTAGTAGTAGTAGTAGTAGTAGTAGTAGTAGTAGTAGTAGTAGTAGTAGTAGTAGTAGTAGTAGTAGTAGTAGTAGTAGTAGTAGTAGTAGTAGTAGTAGTAGTAGTAGTAGTAGTAGTAGTAGTAGTAGTAGTAGTAGTAGTAGTAGTAGTAGTAGTAGTAGTAGTAGTAGTAGTAGTAGTAGTAGTAGTAGTAGTAGTAGTAGTAGTAGTAGTAGTAGTAGTAGTAGTAGTAGTAGTAGTAGTAGTAGTAGTAGTAGTAGTAGTAGTAGTAGTAGTAGTAGTAGTAGTAGTAGTAGTAGTAGTAGTAGTAGTAGTAGTAGTAGTAGTAGTAGTAGTAGTAGTAGTAGTAGTAGTAGTAGTAGTAGTAGTAGTAGTAGTAGTAGTAGTAGTAGTAGTAGTAGTAGTAGTAGTAGTAGTAGTAGTAGTAGTAGTAGTAGTAGTAGTAGTAGTAGTAGTAGTAGTAGTAGTAGTAGTAGTAGTAGTAGTAGTAGTAGTAGTAGTAGTAGTAGTAGTAGTAGTAGTAGTAGTAGTAGTAGTAGTAGTAGTAGTAGTAGTAGTAGTAGTAGTAGTAGTAGTAGTAGTAGTAGTAGTAGTAGTAGTAGTAGTAGTAGTAGTAGTAGTAGTAGTAGTAGTAGTAGTAGTAGTAGTAGTAGTAGTAGTAGTAGTAGTAGTAGTAGTAGTAGTAGTAGTAGTAGTAGTAGTAGTAGTAGTAGTAGTAGTAGTAGTAGTAGTAGTAGTAGTAGTAGTAGTAGTAGTAGTAGTAGTAGTAGTAGTAGTAGTAGTAGTAGTAGTAGTAGTAGTAGTAGTAGTAGTAGTAGTAGTAGTAGTAGTAGTAGTAGTAGTAGTAGTAGTAGTAGTAGTAGTAGTAGTAGTAGTAGTAGTAGTAGTAGTAGTAGTAGTAGTAGTAGTAGTAGTAGTAGTAGTAGTAGTAGTAGTAGTAGTAGTAGTAGTAGTAGTAGTAGTAGTAGTAGTAGTAGTAGTAGTAGTAGTAGTAGTAGTAGTAGTAGTAGTAGTAGTAGTAGTAGTAGTAGTAGTAGTAGTAGTAGTAGTAGTAGTAGTAGTAGTAGTAGTAGTAGTAGTAGTAGTAGTAGTAGTAGTAGTAGTAGTAGTAGTAGTAGTAGTAGTAGTAGTAGTAGTAGTAGTAGTAGTAGTAGTAGTAGTAGTAGTAGTAGTAGTAGTAGTAGTAGTAGTAGTAGTAGTAGTAGTAGTAGTAGTAGTAGTAGTAGTAGTAGTAGTAGTAGTAGTAGTAGTAGTAGTAGTAGTAGTAGTAGTAGTAGTAGTAGTAGTAGTAGTAGTAGTAGTAGTAGTAGTAGTAGTAGTAGTAGTAGTAGTAGTAGTAGTAGTAGTAGTAGTAGTAGTAGTAGTAGTAGTAGTAGTAGTAGTAGTAGTAGTAGTAGTAGTAGTAGTAGTAGTAGTAGTAGTAGTAGTAGTAGTAGTAGTAGTAGTAGTAGTAGTAGTAGTAGTAGTAGTAGTAGTAGTAGTAGTAGTAGTAGTAGTAGTAGTAGTAGTAGTAGTAGGGAAGCGCCCGGTATGGAGAAACTAGCGAAAACCCCACCCGGGAGAAGTAGTAGTAGTAGTAGTAGTAGTAGTAGTTGTAGGAGTAGTAGCAGTAGAAGTAGTAATAGTAGAAAAAGTTTCTTCTTTTTTTTTGTGGAGGGAGGGAAAATGCAATGAGGCACACCATAAGGACACGAGTAGTGTGGGACTCGATGGATTTTTTTTATTAGACCACCCATACTCACTAAAACCTCTCCCATGCTGTATGGCTTTAGTTCCACCCTGGAACCGCGATAGCATTACTTCAGGTTAGAGACACCAGGGAGACAATCGCGATTCACAGCATTAACGAACTAACTTGCCACCATTTGCTAGAGGTGTCAATCTTCTTGAGTCCTGAAAAGGACTTGGCGTCCCTGAGGACCAGCACCCTGTCTAGTGCTCCATAGTAGGGCACTTACCTAGCAAGCACCACTATAAGCTTGATGCTTTCCCTTGCTGATTGGTAAAAAGTATCAAGAACAGCGTGGGTCCACATTAGCCTGACTGCCAACTTAAGGCCCCTTTGCCTTTTTTTTTGACCTTATTGGGCCTTTCTTCTGCCCTCTTTTAGCGCTTTTTTAAATGAAGCGCAGCTCCCACTGCCTGCTTTGTGCTTGTTCTCCGTCGTTGGGCAAAGAAAACACCATGCTGGGCCTGGACACTCGTTTTCCAACGATTTGAGCTTCCAAACTGGAAGCAAAGCTGGGATCTGTTTTCTTCTTTACAGTTACCTCAGACATGTCCATATCTAAGGCATTTGTAACATCTTGTTACTTCAATTCTCTTTTGGATTTGGCAGCTTACGATGCCAATTCGTACTCTCCCTTCTTCCTCTGCTTGTCTGGCAGTTGTTTCGTTGACCGTTATCAACGCCAGCCTTTCTTCTCTGGCATTTGGTTTTCAGAGAGCTTGTTTTGG